TTCTTCAATATTTAAAAAGTTACAATTAAATTGGTGAAATGGGTGCATCAGGCTTAGGTTCTGCTTTAGCAAATTGCATTAATCTCTCAAATTTGACACTTTACCTTTGGTAAAAACAATTTATTTGTTTTGGATTGTGATATTTTTAATTATAAAAACTAATTTAAAACAACAAAGCTCTTTTTTATTTTTCTTTTTATTGTGCTTGCTTTTTTTGTTCTTTCTTTCTTTCTTTCTTTGTTAATTTAGCTCATCATTTTATTTTCAAATTTTGCTTTTATTATTAATTAATTAATCTTATTATTTCATATTTTTTCTTCATTTTTTCCTTCTAATTAACTATTTAATGATATATTTTTTCTTCAATATTAAAAAAGGTCTAATTAAATTGGTGATGAAGGTGCATCAGGCTTAGGTTCTGCTTTAGCAAATTGCATTAATCTCTAAAATTTGACACTTGACCTTGCGTAAAAACAGTTTATTTGTTTTGGATTGTGATATTTTTAATTATAAAAACTAATTTAAAACAACAAAGCTCTTTTTTATTTTTCTTTTTATTGTGCTTGCTTTTTTGTTCTTTCTTTCTTTGTTAATTTAGCTCATCATTTTATTTTCAAATTTTACTTTTATTATTAATTAATTAATCTTATTATTTCATATTTTTTCTTCATTTTTTCCTTCTAATTAACTATTTAATGATATATTGTTTCTTCAATATTTAAAAAGTGACAATTAAATTGGTGATGAAGGTGCATCAGGCTTAGGTTCTGCTTTAGCAAATTGCATTAATCTCTCAAATTTGACACTTAACCTTCAGTAAAAACAGTTTATTTGTTTTGGATTGTGATATTTTTAATTATAAAAACTAATTTAAAACAACAAAGCTCTTTTTTATTTTTCTTTTTATTGTGCTTGCTTTTTTGTTCTTTCTTTCTTTCTTTCTTTCTTTCTTTCTTTCTTTCTTTGTTAATTTAGCTCATCATTTTATTTTTCAATTTTACTTTTATTATTAATTAATTAATCTTATT